GCACGTGTAGAGCTGATCTAAACCAGAAATTTTTTTTAAGAAGCTGAGTTGGCAGCCTTGGCACAGAGCCATGGGGTTGGAATGTTAGCTCCAGAATAGGTCATGCAGCTCACCCTATAGAAAGACCCATGCAGGAAACATTTGGCAGTTTGAATAAACTCAAGTGCAAATTACTGCATTTAACGTCTCCATGCAAACTCTCTAGCCTGCAAGTATACAAGTACTTTTCTGGTACAGAGCTAAATTTTAAATTATCTTGTAGTAAACTATTCCAACTCAGTATAACCCTAAGTAAATCTGTTTCAGGTTAGATATATGAATGTTTATAAGTATATATGGGAATTATGGAATCATACCTTTTTAGTCCCTTGCATTTGTGGAGATTTTTTAATTGATTGTTTAACTATAGTTTGCTGTATCCAGTTTGGAACAGATGTAATGACTGGGAAAACTTAATTTCTTTGGCAGAAAACAATTAAAAGTTATCAGTTATCACCGACTTGGGGAGGTCTGGGGGTTCCTGAAATGTTACGCCTGTACTATTAACTGAATTCAAAATCTAAGGACAAAGATAAAAGGCATAAAATTGATGCAAAATCTGTTAAACTAAGAGCAGGAATGAAGAGAAGGATACCTCTAGGATACCTCTCCAGCAATTTTTAATTCATTCCCGCTGGAATTTCCTTGTTTCACTCTTTAAAAAAGATGCTCCCTATGATTTTAAAATGTCTCACCTACGTGTTACCCTGTAAAGATTTCAGGAAGTTTTAGCCATCTGAAATGTGTTGCACTTGTCATTTGATGGGTTCTCAAGTGGCCTTCCTTCCTTTTGTGTCCCAGCAACCTGTGTGAAGCAGTGAAAGCCATATTTAAGTTTAAAGATGGAGGGGGCATTAGTAGTGATTTGGGGGAATTTCTCTGACCTGTCCATCTCATCAATGCTGTGTTCTGTTTGTCTCTGTTGTCTTACGGTTTATCTAATGATCAAAGCTCATCCCCACTTTTATTTCTTTCTGAAACATTTAATTCTATGACTTCTATCCAAACAGGAGGTATGTCCTGAGAAGCCCTGAGAACATCAGGCTCCTGGGAGCTCAGTAATTCCTTCAAGGTACATTTTTAAAAGCTATACTAATGTTTCATCTTCAGTGCTCCCATTGGTCCTTTTTAAAAGCTGTCAGGCTTTTCCCATATAAAGAAAATATTTTCTACACATCTCAATGCATATCTAAAATCTTGTTGATAAGATGGAACATTTCTAATGTAGGTGTCCCCCTTAATTAGCACTCAGATTCTAATAGTACTCATTCTAATTAGCACTGAGATTCAGGATCCTGCCATGAATTGTTCTACACAGCTGTTCTGGAATTTCTGGTATGTGCTAGTTTCAGACCACAAATGTGGCCAACATTACAAATGAGGCCAACTAAGAAACATTTAAAAATCCCAAAACTTCAGAAGTTAGCCAGCCAGACCATATCTGGACCCTTTATGATTATGAAACAAATTCTTCCACAGCGAAAACAGCTAATGTGCAGCATATGAAAGTGAGCTCTGCTGCCCTGAGCCAATGCTTGTGCTGAGGATGGCCATCCCTTAATTATCAATAGGAATAGTAATTGTCAATAGGATACAATAGGATCATTGTATCCTTGTCACTGCCAGAGTGAAGAAATGATTCAGTCAGGTTGAATGTGTCTCCTGTTCCAATGAAAGGGACTGTACAGAACTCCCTGGAGAAAGGAGATCCCAGCCCATCCTGCTCCTGTTACATGGGTACCTTACAATAGTTGCAGAATGTTTCATTATTTGCTTTTTTTTCCTTTATCCTGTGGAGAGGCAGCATGCAGGTGTGAAATTGGCTGTTCTGTCATGTGCACATGTGTGCCCTTTGTTCACTGCTTCACACTAGGGGAAAGCTGGTAACTTCTTCTGAGGTTGCTTTGAAATTCACCATGCCTGGGATAATCTATACAGCACTTGAGTCTCAGGGACATCATCCTTCCTGGTGCCTGAAACTTAAGTGGGAAATAATCCTCAATTCTCCCTTTGAGATTAGTGGAAATGGTTAATGTGCTGGATACTCTGAATGGAACACAGCACAACTAAACTGCAGCCATGAAAAGAGAAATGCTGAATGCTTCCAAGTGCTTGGCTATAGGCCAAGTCAGGTTGTGCAAAATTTTTAGCTATGAAATCTTTTTTTTTTTTTTTGTAGATGCCTCTGTCACCCTGTAAAATTCACTTCATTTGCTAAGGGTGATGCTACCATGACTCAATAAAACGCTTCAGGCTCCCTGAGCAGACCACAAAGACTTTACACACTGCCTTCCATGAACTACTCACACCCTGTCTCACAGGAGTATGCACTGCCTAATTCCTGAATGTTAGTGGTCAGTGGCAGCAAGGAGATCAGGATCTGCTGATTGTAGGGTTATTTCTGACCTCCAGTCCCACCACCCCATTGTTCTGCTTGCCTTTGTGTGGCCAAGGCCTTAGAGTAATTCTTATATTCCTTAGAACTAGGAGTTCATGATAACTTCACTGGGATCAAGATCAGCTTCTGCACAGCAAATAATTAAACATTCTGCAACTATTGTAAGGTACCCTTGTAACAGGAGCAGGATGGGCTGTGATCTCTCTCTAGGGAGTTCTGTACAGCCCCTTTCATTGGAACAGGAGACACATTCAACCTGACTGAATCATTAAATGGAATTATAAGACAATGAACATTAGCCACTTAGCTATTGGGATTTCATAAATCCCAATAATTAAAACTGCATGGGCAATAATAATGGGCTATTCCAGATATCTAAGTAAGAAAAATGCACCTTTGATGTATTGTGGCAAAAACACTGAGTTAATGGAGGATCTGTGTAATAAGTTACCATACAGAACCTGCAGCTGCAAATATATAAACATGCTTCCCAACAGAATTTCACCGTGTCACAATTGATTAAGAAAATCGGCAATAACTGACAAGATAGGCACAAAATGGATTTTCGTGTTGCTGGGATGAAGTATGGCTCCCAGCAATTAATGGTTTTAGTCATATTAAGAAGATAAATAATGCTATCTGACATTTCAGTATTTCACATTACACTAAAATTTTGTAACATTTGCTCATAATATGAGTTGAAATATGTTACCTAGGAAAAAAAATGTTATCTCTGGAACAGTCAAACCCCATTAGAAACCTTAGGCTTGAAAAATCACAATGTTAACAGTTATATCCCCTAGCAAAGGTTTGCTTTCCTTAAATAGTGTTAAATTTAAACCCAGAAGCTCTAGTCTCTTTTGGAGTTACTCTTCCATCGTGCATTGAGCTTGAAAGGGAAATTTAGAGCATGGAATGTACTGTGCCATTACTGAATGTCGGTAAGAGAAACACCATGGAGAACTGCAGAAACAGGGGAGCCTTTAAAATGAAATCACATCAGGGATACTTATGTTCTCTAAAACTGCTTTATTAAAAAAGCTCCTAATCATACTATGACCCCATAACCCACTATTGATAAATAATTTGATTGTTTTAAACCTCATTCTAATTGGCATGTTTGCCTTTTTCCTAGCTGCATATATGCTGCCTGAGTACCATTCTTTTGGGAAAAAAAGAAAACCTTTTTCTGGATCTGAATTTTCAGTCAGTTTACGTGGAAAGCTCCTCTGATTTCAGCATTCTTACTCACGTAAGTACAGTTTTACCCTGGAAAATACCAATGTGTTCCAAGCAGTAACAGGAATCAAGAACAAATATGGGAACAGGATTTTTCTCTTGTGTGCTGCTAATTCTGTTCCAAATTCATTTAGTAATGTGGAAGAAAATGTGATTGCTTGTCAAAGCACAGATGTGGTTTTTTTGTTGGGACGGTGCACAGAGCATTCAGAAGTGTCATGTTTAGCTGTGGGCAACAATGCTTAGTGTCTCAGCACCCAACTCCCACTGAATTTCAACAAGAGTGAGCAAACAACCTTCCCCTGGGCTCCAGTGAAAATCCTTGGCTTAGTATCCAGCCTGAGCTGCAGTTTCACTTGCAGGAAACAAGCGTTTTTTTGAGGTCTTTTGAGGTATTGTTTCCTGAAACAGCAGAAGATAATCTGAGTACACAGAGAGTGCTGAAAATCTGTTAGCAAAATATGTTAGTTTGATAAAGATTGTCAGGATTATTGAGTACAATAAACCTTTCCAAATCCAAGCCATAAAGAAAATATATAATCATTTTCACGTGCCAAGATACAATTTTATTGCTTCCCAGATAGCACTGCATTTAGGCTTTTATTTAACTTGAGGGTACTGTAAGAACAAAACCAGTTCACTTTTATGACATTTGCCCTGCTCTATGTCAGTGGGAGAGGTGGGGATTTTTCAGAGACATTGCTGGCAATGTCACAAGATGTGCACCCCAAAAGCTTAGTGGTGCTGCCAGCAAGCACATGTAATTTCTGTCAGACTCAGCAATCTACATTTAATTATCTTCAACTGCAAGATGTAAAATATTGCACCAGGGTTCTTCCATGACCTTATAAAAATGGCACTGTTCACAGAGGTCACAGTTCTGCACTGCCTCTTGATGATTTTTACAAATGTGTTGAACTGCTGAAGTGTCTCACAGCCTGGGAGTCTCAGAGCTCCCCTCTGGATTGTTCAGGGTGTGATGTTTTACACCAAACCTTCCAGGAACCTCCCAGAGAATGCTGCTGGGAAGTCCTGATCCCCCAGTACTGGTGTCCAGAACAAATTCTAGTTACAGCTGCTATGTATAATGCACTTCTTTTTGGCTTTTCTTTTTATTTATTGAGGTGACAAAGAACAGTTGGGGTTGTATGTCCAGATGCTTTTGGAAATGACCATCCCAGTGCTTTGGTAACTACTGGCTTCAGAGGCTTGGTTTGTGTTTTCACATCATCTCTCTGCTAATCTGTGTTAGTGTTACTGCACCTTCACAGTGTCAAAAAGAAGTATTGGTTTTATTGTGCTTCTTTTCAAACCAGTACAGATAAAAACAACCAAACTTGGAGAAGTTGGTTATATAAAAATATACACGTAACAACTCACATTATACAGTAAAAAATAAAGCACCTATGTGGAAAACTTCCCCCTTTTTTGGAAGGAGAGCTGTCTCTAGAGTTACAGGTATAAACACACAAACCCAGAAGTTCAGCCACAAGAATCTGTCCTCTTAGTGGCAGAGGAGACAGAAGGCCCAGAGGGATGACATGTCTCATTCCCTCTCCGTCACAGAGCTGCTGCCATTCACACTGTGCGAACAGGAGCAGGGCTGGGGTGAAGTGTGAAAAGCAGGAGATAAATTATGCTCCATGTGGCACAGCTCCTCCCAGGAAGCAGCCAGGCCAAGGGCCCACAAACAGCTGTACATTACCCTGCTGTGGGAGGAGCAGCTGCCAGGCTGGACTCTGCATGCCTGCCTGGGAATGCAGGGTCGGGGACAAGGGACCTGTGCATTTGCACACTGCAGCAGGAGCCAGGGGGCTGCAGCAGCACTCGCCCAACACAGCTACTCTGTGGAGACAAAGCTGGTATCAAACTCTTCTCCGGGCAGGAGGCTCAAAGGGTCACCTCTAAACTATTAGAAAAGACAACTAAATAACTTAAGTCTGATTAAACATTAGGGTTCTAATCCTAGGCGCATTTCACTATGGTAAAAGTGGGTATTTGAAGAAAATACTTGGCTATTAAAGATCTTTGCAATGTTTTTAAAAGTCCCTTTTCCATGCCAAGCTCTAACCTATTCAGAATAGTTACCCTCTTAATTTTTTCAAAAATAAAACTCTAATAACTAAAGATTGTATTTAATCATGTGAAAGGAGTAAAAAAGCTATTTCTACGTGGTTTCTGAGGTAATAAGCTGGCATGTTAAAAATAATATTAATGCAAGTCATTCAGTTGTGAGTGTCCCTTGGCCATCTTCCCTCCTGGAGGGGATGGACACAGTGATTTCAGTAAGGTGGAGAAAAGATGTGTGGCACACTGGCTGGCACACTGAATCATAGCTCATCGTGGTTTCTCGTGAGGTCCTCCCCATAATTGGTAGCTTGACTTCCAACAAACATGTTCCAGTTGTCTAGAACTTCCTCTTTTGTTAGTTTTTGATCCTGGTAGAAGGAAAAAAAAAAAAAAAAAACAACAACTCTGTAAGAATATTTTCAGAACTAAGTCTAAGACACAAAGACACACCAGCACAGACTTGCAAGAGCCCTGGGAAACAGTTCTTCACAGCAGTAGACTGCAGGCTCAGCAATCATTTGTAGCTGTCACAGTGAGTGAAATTTGGGCCTCAGTGGAAGACAGAAGCCCCACAAGCTTCAGGCAGGTCCAACTGCTAACTGAAAGCTCTTTGTAATGCCAAGCAGTAGGAACAGTAGGTTAACAGTGCACAGTTTTGTGGTTTGGTTCATCTTCCTGACTGCAGAAACAAAAATCCTCTGGCGCACTTTGTGGAAGGTGGTTGCTTATGTTAGCAGTTTCTGTGTTCAGAGCATTTTGGCTTTCAGGTTCCTCATATGCTGTCCCTGATCAGAGCCAGTGTTTAAGTGAAAGGTATGTGCTTGAATATAGAACTGAGAGTGGGTTTGCTACCCCTACATTTGAGTACAAGGGGTATCTAAATGTAACTTTATTTACCTCTTTTAGTCTATATTAACATACAAAAGTAATGACCACTCTTAAAGGAAAAAGAGTATTTTTTTGCTGTGTTAAAACAGTGACAGTTTCTCATCTCACCTAATGAAAACCAAGGGACCTTCTAGAGCTGATAAACTGTATTGTAACACTTTGTAATTCTAACACTACCAACTGAGATTGTCATGGAAACATTAGTCCACCAGCAAGTCTAGCCTCTAAAGAAAAGTCTAGCTTCTTTAATCCATTAGCAAGTCTAGCCTCTAAAGAAAGGTATTAGGAATAAATTCCTGCAACCTGATGTTTTAAAAAACCCACAAGACCCTATATAACTTCTTTAAAAACAACACTGGAGCACCACATACCTTGTCTACATCAGATTCATAGACTAAGTGCCTGGCTTCAGCAAGTGCATGGTCATAGTCCTGGGGGAGGATCCAGTGCTGGATCTCATCTTTGTCCATCTTTCCATCCTTGTTGAGATCACGGAAATCTGAGAACTGCTCACGTTCTGTAATCACCCAGTCGGGCTCTGGTCCACCCTCCTCATTTGCAAACATATCAGCTGGAGAGGAAATAAGGGTCTTACTTCAGTCCTATTTACTTTGCAAATTAAGCACAAAATAAAGATACTTTTCCAGTGTTCCTCAGAGGGGACTGAACTTTTCATTCTTTGCACTGAACAGAGAGGACAGAACTTTTCATTCTGTGTCTCTGCACAGAAAGAGAAATGTGGGGTGTAGATGGAGTAGCTGTATCTTCTCTCAGGCCTGTTTCTTCACTGCTGGTGATTCTGCCCATTCTCACAGCACCCTATATCGTACCTGTGCACTTCTGGTGGGGCTAACAGGAGAGCTAACATGTTCAAAGGCCATCATCTGAATTTCAGAAGGAACAAAATCCTCTAAGGATCTTTGGCTGAACAGCAGTCTTAAGCTTTAGTGCTAGGCTTGGTCACATGGGGAGAAAGGAACTCAGCCATTTTATCTTGTCCCTGCCAGCAAATGTCTTTGTGGATAAGATCAGATTCCAGCCAGCAGAGTGATTACAGGAAAAAAGGCACAGGGGGAATTTAGGCAAACAAAAATTGCTAAATGGAACCTGCATGCATTTTAGAGAAATCTTGTGTGAGAGACATTCAGCTTAGGAGATCAGCTCTCTTTTAGGCATGCAGTGCTGCAGCACATTCCGGCAGAAGACACTCCTGCAGGAAAGAGCTGGAGAAGTCAGGAGTCATGGTGCACTGTGTGAGGAGCCACAGGCACAGAGCACTGGTCACAGCCTGGGACCTGGGGAGGGAGCAGTGTGTGTGGCAGGATGCAGAGGTCACACACCCCAGCTGCTCTGCACGTCCCTCCTGTGCTGCATTTTGGGAGCATGGGTAGGACCGAGCCACAGTGGCAGCTGCTTTCTGCATAAACACAGCACAGCAGCAGTGATTATTAAAACCAACTGACTTCTGAATGTTCTTTACATCACAGGGCTTTCCAAGTCATGAGTGGTGTCTCTGTCATCCTTCTGGTCACTGTGGCCAATCCTTTCCTACTCATCCTCAAGCCTTCCACTTCTCTATTTAGAATTGAACCTGCTTTGTGACACTACTCCTCTCCTCTCCAGTGCCTTTTGGATTTGGTTTTCAAGGACCCTCAAGGATGGTGCGAGGGTCAGAGGCTGGCTGGTACCTGTGGGAAACACAAATGCTGAATTCCAAGGCAGGAGTAAGTACCCCTGACACTGGGCTGAGGCTCTCCATTGTCACTGTCCCCAGTGTCCCTGAAATATTCTGTTACCTGCCCATGCACAGTGAGAATTTAGTTCTCTCTGCTCAACACTTTTATAGGCATTTTGCTCCGCTGCTTGTGTAAATCTAAACCAAATTTTGCAAAAGACAAAATGGGAGCAAAGAAGGGAATGGAGGGTGGATCATTCTATAAGCTTCAACAGATCCCCCCAACAAATACTCCATCTAGAGACTGAAATTTTTGGACTTCTTTTTGTTGCTCCTTAATAGCTACCAAAGAAGAGATTTAGTTTTCTGTTGGTTTCTTAATCCCAACTTCATCAAAATTTAAAAAAATTACATCTGAAAAAGGAAAGTAGGAATATTTTAAGCATAGTTTTCTCAACTCAGGAAGAAAACTTCAGACAACACATTCACTTTCTTTTTTCATTTTTTAAAGTGCAAATTATATTGTTTATTTGAAGCAACTGACATGTCCTGTCAATTTGATTTTTATCATCCTTGCCAATGTGGGGTGATCGTGACTAGAACATTCTATGTTCCTATCTATAGAAGACAAGAAAAACCAGCATTCACATGGTAACAAATGTTGACAATTACCTTATAATTATATGTAGGTAATGTCACTGAATGAACTGAAATTACTGTGGAAATTATGCTGCTCTGTTATTTCAGTCATAGATGAATAGCATTCACTTTCTGGGCTAAATATAATTTACAAGGAACAGAACCCCCTGCCATTAATTAGTGTGTGTACATTGTTCCTGATTCTATGTGAAGTGATCTTTATAGCACCACTAGAAACAGAAAGCTTCATCCAACTTTGCACTAATGCCTTCTTAGTGCTACTTTCTGGATTTAAAACTCATCAAAATAGAATGGTATCATCAGTACAGAAGTATGGGCTTTACTTACTAATTAAACTAGGAAAAAAAAACCTAGCAGGAACAAGGTGAACTTTCTCTTTTTGCAATGGTTGATTCCCAGGTGTTTTGGATATTTGAGCACCATCCAAAACCATTTATTTGGGAAAAGACTAATTCATTTTCTGATCCTCCTGCATTTCTAAACAATGCCTTCAAACAGCAGTTAACATGGTGCAATATACAAAGAATATCCATGCCATGAAAAATATTATTCCAGATTCTCTTCTTTTGTTCTCATATAACTCTTAGCTGAGCTAAATAAGAGCAAGAGGAGAATTTTGTGTTGTGAAGCATGAGGAATTCTTCCTGGTCATGTTGCTATCTACCTAAAATGAAATTAAACTTTCTGGATTGGATGGTTGGTATAAAATAGTTGAACTGTTCACTCTGGGTTGTTAATGCTGCTGCCAGTTTGAGAGAAGATGGAAAAATGGACTGGAGATTATATAAAAAACAAGTGACAACACTTACCAATGTATTCATCTTGATCCACAAAACCATCCTCGTTTTTGTCTATGTCTTCTAAGGTTTCCTGGAAAACAATTTTGCATGAAAGTCATCAAGAAAAAACTGAGAGCTCTGATTACCTGCCTTTGATAATTTAATGTTCTGAGGCCTTGACCTGCCCCTGTACACAAGTGAATGTAGTCTCACTAAACCCAGTGGGACTGTTGTTTGCACAATGAATATAAAAATATCCTTTCATGTTGAAAAAATTCCCTGTATGAATGAACTGCTTATGTTAGGGGCAGTTCAAGCCCCTGCCTGCATGAAACACTCAGCTGCTGTATGTCAGCACACCCTCCTTATATTTTGGTTTAAGTCTGTGCCCCAAGATTGTTTCTTGATTCAATTTAGGAGCTGTCTAAGTGCACTTAAAAAGTCTTTCTTATGTTGAGACTTCTAAACCAAGTGAGTATCACGAAAGGCACCCCTTTCTGTTCCCCACTTAGCTTTTGTGTGTGCCTCTTTCTAAACCCTGCCTGGAAAGGTGAGAGAAGCCTTCAAATTCACCCAAAAAAGCAGAAACAATGGCATTGATTTTGCTTTGCTTACTAAGACAACAATGTTTTTCATGTGCTCAAACTCCTCTGGGTGCAGGAAAGCAGTGAACTCCTCACGAGTGGCAGCCAAGTCTCCATCCAGGTCTGCAGCTTTGAATCGCCTTTCATCTCTGGGCAGCATTTTCTTAAAGCTGTGCTGATCAGTTGCATCTTGGAATTCTTCTGGATTTTCTGCAGACAAATCAAGATGATCTCAGAGGGGTTCTCCTTTAAAACATTCTAGCAAAACAAAGCTGTTTGAGTTTAGAAATAAAAAGGTTTATTGCCAGAACAGCTGTTGTTCTAAATGGAAATTCTCTTCCCCATGAAGTTTAAAACTCGGGGGTCAAATACTTGGTTTGATTTTTAAAGGTGACAGTAGTAGGAGGTAAATTTCTGAGCAAGCCTTCTGTTACAATCCAGAATAATGGTTTTGCAGTATTCCCTCAGAGATTTTTTTTATCTGCCTTTACAAGCACCACTGAGGCAATATTTGGGGTAGACTTCATTCACAGAAGTTTTCTTCATCTTTAGGGATCAGTATGATCCACACAACTTTTCAGTTTCAAGAAGAGCAAACCAAGGAAATGAGGTTCAGAAGGTGGCAGACTGACTGAAATTATCTCAGTGCTAGACCTCTGCTACAGGGAACCTAACAATTCTTTTCAGTTTAAAACAATGGCATTTTTTCAGAGTGTTCAGTGGCATAAAAGCAATGGTATTTGATATAATTTTTAAAATAGGATCAGTAAACTGACTTTAAAAATGAAAAATACTCATAACAATTTCACAATTCACATGTTGGGAGACAAACACATGTGAAAAAGACTGGGTCAGGAATTACAGATGGGAATTTTAAGTATTCATTAACACAAGCCCACAATGCTGCTCTCCAAATCTTGGGGCTTAGAGGTAGAAAGACAGAGGGCTGAGAAGGGTTCCAGGGATAATTCTGCAGGGACTGTGTGTTAAATATTTCCTTTCACAAATGTAACAAACTCCATTTAAATCTAAGGTAGACTATGGAATTATTACTGCTACAGGAAGCTTGCTCTAGAAACTGCCTCTGTGGTAGGTAAATATTGTTTTCTCATTTCCAGTAAGTATAAATGGTCAATTAATACTGATTTGTTGCTCTGTCAGTATTGCCCTTTAGCTTAAGTGATCTCTTCTCCTCCTCTTCCTTCATTAACTTATAAAAGCAAAGGGAACATGGAGGGGGGTGGGGAGAATTCAGGTATATTTTTAAATAAATGTTTATTTTGCCTGATTTGTTAAGGATTTTCATTTGCTGTTGATCACAGTCTGAAGCATGTTATTCTGCAAGAATGACTTTAATCAATAACTTTGCTGCAGCTTAGACACAGGCTACATTTTTAACATCCAGACTTGGGATTTTAGAGACCAAATTCACAAATACAGTTAATTAGACAATATATTATTTTTTAATTAAAGTACCCTTTTCAATGCTAAAAAATAATATATTTCTAACTGGAGGAGACTTTAATTCAGCTGTGTCAGTATATTTAATGATACCTCTACAAAACCTTCTGTGTGCTGGTGACCCATGTGCAAAGGGCTGCAATAAATAACTAAAAAGTGCTTTTGACCTCTGAGCATCCATAAAATTTAATGTGAGCTTCAAGAGTCCTAAATGTGACAACAACCTCCAGTTGTCTGCAAGGCAAGAAATCATATTTTATAATCTTAAAAATCCTTGATCATACAATCTGTTCTCTTACCTAGATAATAACCATATGTGGCTTGCTTGTATTCTTCCCAGGCAATTTTATCATCCTTGTTTAGATCATAATCTTTCCAAACTTTGGCCACATTTTCATAGATGTAGCGTTTCTGCACTCGTTTAATCCAGGTTTTTAACTCCTCTGTTGTGATATAGCCATCTTTGTCATCATCTATTCTGTCCACAATCTTCCTGTAAAAAGAGATCAGCATCATTAAAACCCTACTGCATGTCAGGCCAATTTTAGTGATCTTCATCTGGCCCTGATTTTCCACAAAAACACAGTGCCCCAAACTCCTAAAGCTGTCCTACTGGTTAAGGTTTTCCTGCATTTTACACATCATATAAAGGAATGTGTCTCTGTTTGTTATTCAGCATTGCTATGAATAACCCAAAGGAAACTTGCACAACTAAAATTAGTGAGCAGAGAATACTTGGTTTTCTCTTTCTTAGGTTGTGCCTCCTGTCTTAGGGGCATCTGTTCTTCACTGCCTACAGGGAGTGGCTGTGCTGGCTCAGAGCAGGAGACACCTGTGGTGGTGCTGGCAGGGGTCACAGGATGAGGGAAGAGATGAGAATTTTCACTCCATATTTCAGCAGGCTGATTTATTATTTTATGATATGTTAAAAAGGAAAATGATCTATTTTATGATATATTAAAAGAAAATTACATTAATCTATATTAAAATATGTATTTTATATCTTTTAATATATATCTTTATATATTTTATATATTAATATAATTAATAATAAAACATAATATATAATTATTATTATTTGTAATATTATATGTAATATAATTTTAATTATCTATTTATTATATATAACATATATAATATATAATACATATAATATATTTAATTATAATATTATATATTATTATATAATTTTATATTATATATAATATAATTTCAATATAATATATAAAATATAATATATAATATATATTATATTGTATGTAATATATAATATATATTATATAATATGTAATATATAATATATATATTAATATTTGTATTAATATATATTAAAATATATATTAAAAGGAAATTATTAAAACTCTACTAAAAGAATAGAAGAAAGGATTTCATCCGAAGGCTAACACGGAAAAGAATGATGGACCTGCAATTGGTCATCAAATAGAAACAACTCACATGGACCAATCAAAGATGCACCTGTTGCATTCCACAGCAGCAGATAATTATTGTTTTTCTTTTCCTCTGAGGCTTCTCAGCAGGAAAAATCCTAGCAAAAGGATTTTTCAGAAAATATATCCGTGACAGACACCAACTTCACTTCAGGACAACGCCTGAACTCAAACTTGCTGGAGGCAAGCAGAGCAAAAATCCAGGATTTGGTGGACACCTGCAGTTTCTCCTTTGGTTTTGCAGCAGGCTGACATCAGGGTGAAGTGTGTAATGCTGGGGATGTACACCAGGTACAGTCTCCCCTTCCCAGCCTGTCCCTTGTTTCTTTTCCTTGATTCCCAGTGGAAATCAGTACTGCTGGTGTTGCCAGGAATGCTGTTACTCACTAAAGCAGCATCAAGTCTGCAGCAGGTCTCCAGCCATGGCTGGAAGATTTGGGATTTTAGAGACTAAAAGGGCTATAAACCTCTGTCCAGTGTAAAGCTGCCAGCACTGTTGAAACCAGAATGTTTCACTGTTGAAACAGTGAAACATTCTGCTCACAGCTGCAGTTCAAAAAAAAAAGGACAGTGCTCTCTCTACCATTTATGTTCTCTGCAACTAATCTCACTGCAATTAATCTCTCTGCAACTGATGAACTTCACCATTTTGGGGCCGAGCTTGTAAAGCTGCCTTCTGTGCCTGCTCTTGGAATTGAGCACATCCACCTTGGCTCTCTGGCACATCCAGGCTGGCTTTGGGCACACCAGCAGCCTTCCCCCTGCCCATGAGGTGCAGGGGCAGCCTGTCTGCAGGTGCCCTGTGCCTCATCCAGTGGCCAGCTCCTGCCGTGCCCATGGAATACTGAGGTGCCATTGCAATGCAGGGGGAAGAGCAGGAGCTGACCTGTCTAAATCCTGACTTGACACTCAGCAGGTGAGCTCCCTAAACCTCAGGGAAAATGATCTAAACATTCTTTGCAATTCCACATCTTGGTTCTCCACCAAGAAACCACGTTTGGAACTGCCCAAGTAGTGAAGCAATGTCTCTGCCCAAGCCTTTGTTACAGAAGTGGTTGCTGAAATAGCAGCAGCAGCTTCTGCTGAACTTCAGCAATGTTGTGTGAGCCTGATAGTATCAGATTGGTTTTGTGAACATGTTGTTTGAGTTATGGGGCAAAAAAGGGGCTGCTGAATTTCATTTCTGAATTAGTCAAGTGTGGATGAACTGACTAGAAAACCTTTTCTCTTCTGTATCCATTGCCAGTGGTCCCTTTCCCTGCATGAGGGACTATATTTGTCACCAGATTTTCCCCACAATGATTTAATTTCATTTGTTTAACTGGTATTTCTTTCTACTGTTAAGGTATTAAATGATTATGCTGGTAGCTCTTGGCAATGTGTAACATGAAAGAAGTCAGGTACACATTTTCTGTGTACCAGAAAATGTTTCATGTCTTCTCCTTTTCACCTGTTTTTATAGGTCCACTGCATCCACGGGCACTATTTCATCCCACTTCTCAGCTGAAGCTGGGGACAATAAAACAGCCTTGGGGACAATAAAACAAGCCTATAGGCTCCCAGAGGCACAGGTAAAAAGCTGTTGTGTGGACTTCACTTTTTACTGTTGTTATTATTGGGATGACCAATGTGCTGCCACATTTCCTAAGCAAGGTAAAATGCCTTATAAATACAGCGGCATGCACTCTGGTTAGAGCAGCAGACTATATGTTTCTGTTTTCTCCTAGAAATCATTTAAAAATAGCTTTTAATTAAATCTGCCTTCTTCCTAAGAGCAGCCACTTGCTGAAAAGTGACTCTGTTTGTAACCCACTACAGAAGTTGCCCATAACAAAAATGGGGAGAAGGGGTTCAGCATGTGACTATTAAACCACAAGATGTTTTTTTAATCCTCTCTTTACCTCCCAGTTGCGCTGCTATCCAAGATTACAAGGTTGGGGAATGCTGGAAGTTATGAAACTTTCCCAAAAGTCCCCCAGGAGCCACATCCCTGATGCTGAGATGCACAGCACTCACCCTCAACGTGTCCTCAGAGGGTCACCTCCATTTAAAAGGTAATTATTGACTTTGTATTTTAACATGCCTGTGTCACCCCTCCAAAGGGCAATCAGTGAGATCAATTAGTTAAAACTTCTTCCCTTGCTTTACAGTTTGTAAAAATTGTTTAAAAACATCTGTGTTGTTAAATCACATCCCTGACTGAATTATCTGTACCAGTAAGTGCAGACCAATATTAGGAGGGCATGTCCATTTTGGTGACACAAGTGATGAGAATCTAGGTCACAGCCATGTGTGCTGAGAACATGGTTTCCTTTGCTCCTTCTTGAAACAATGAGGATGGAGTCGATAATTTCTGGTAATCATTTCATCTGTTTACTCTCTGAGACATACAAATAGCAGTGACAGCTTTGAGAAGGATCAAGAATGAGATTGCAGTGCTGCTGCTTATGGTAGGACTAGACAGAAAATTAGCAAGTGCAACTCCCTGGGGGAGAGAAGGCAGCAGGGAATCTTAGTGAGAACATGCAGGGTATTTTAAGCAATCTTCTTTGTGGTAACTACATTAAAGGATCTTTCTTTAACTCCTATTAAATTTAGTTCTGCTTAGTGATCTGGCTTCACTGTAGGTGTAAAGGTACGGAGAAGCAGTAAAGTAAGGCACGGTCCCTGCCCTTTGCATGGAAATAATAGCAGCTGAAACACTGTGAGCAAAGAAGGCACAAGTGGGAAGATGCTTGAAGAGCACTTGTAAACGTGGCTGTAGAGAAGGAATGGTTGAAACTCATTAACACTGATGTGGTGTGGGCAGCTGTCCCAGAGGCAGGGAGCAGCAGCAGCAAAGCCTCCAGCAGCAGGTCCAGCACAGCAGCTCCCTCTGACAGCCTTGCTGCTGTGGGGCCACAAAAGGCAGCAGGGAGGAACCCCAAAGCCATGGACTGCTGGCTGCTCCTTTGCAAAACCAGCGGGGTGGGAGAGAAGTCACAACCCAGAGCTTCGACCTGCAGCCACTCGGATACAGGGTGCCACTCTGGGGTACAGAGCATCACACTGGGGTACTGTGGGGTACAGGGTCCCACTCTGGGGTACAGAGCATCACACTGGGGTACTGTGGGGTACAGGGTCCCACTCTGGGGTACAGAGCATCACAGCGGGGTTCAGGGTCCCACACTGGGGTTCTGGGCACTACTTTGGGTTACAGAGCATCACAGTGGGGTTCAGGGCACTACTTTGGGGTACAGAGCATCACTCTGGGTTACAGAGCATCACAGCGGGCTTCAGGGTACCACTCTGGGGTTCAGGGTCCCACACTGGGGTTCAGGGCACTACTTTGGGGTACAGGGCCCTACACTGCAGTTCAGGGCACCACTGTGGGTACAGAGCATCACAGTGGGGTTCACGGCACTACTCTGGGGTACAGGGTCCTACACTGGGGCTCAGGGCATTACTCTGGAGTACAGGGTCCTACTCTGGTGTAAAGCGCATCATAGTGGGCTTCAGGGCACCACTCTGAGGTACAGAGCATCACACTGGGGTTCAGGGCGTTACTCTGGAATACAGGGTCCCACGCTGCAGCTCAGGGCACCACTGCGGGGTTCAGGGCACCGCTCTGGGGTTCTGAGCCCCGCTGTCCCCTCGGTCACTCAGGCAGCCCCAGGCCGCCTCCTCCGCCCCGGGCCCAGCTCGGGCCCTCCCCCTGCCACGTCTCCCGCCCGGCCCGGGCGCTCACCCCAGGCGCTCCCGGCTCTCCTCCGGGCTGAGCTGGTCGAAGCTCCGCGCCTCCTCCTTGCCCAGGAAGGCCTCGTGGTCGTACTGGAAGCCGGGCAGGTCCTCGTGCTGCGCGGCTCCAGCCCGAGCGCGCTCCTGCCGCGCCGTGGGCTTGCCCAGCGCGCCCGCCGCCACCAGCAGCAGCAGCAGCAGCGCGGGCAGCGCCCTTAGCGCCCCGCCGCCCGCCATGCCCCGCCGGCCCGGCCCGCACCCCGCTCCGCTCCGCTGCCCGCCACCGCCCCGCCCCGGCCCGCTCCGCCCCCGGGCCGGCCTTCGGCAGCGCGCCCGGCCCGGCTGCGCCACGTCCGCACGGGGCCCGGCGGCGGGGCCGGGGCTGCGGGCAGAGCGGGGCGGGCAGAGCGGAGGGGCCGTGGGCAGAGCCGGGCGGGCAGAGCGGAGGGGGTCGAGGGCAGAGCCGGGCGGGCAGAGCGGAGGGGCCGCGGGCAGAGCCGGGCGGGCAGAGCCGGGCGGGCAGAGCCGGGCGGGCAGAGCCGGGCGGGCAGAGCCGGGCGGGCAGAGCCGGGCGGGCAGAGCCGGGCGGGCAGAGCCGAGGGGCCGCTCCATCGCCGCAGCGCCCCGAGCCCAGCCCGACAAACACCGCGGCAGCTCCAAACAGCGGCTCGGGGCTGTCCCGCCGCTGCTGCTCGCTCGTCAGGAGCGGCGGGTTGATGATGGTTGCTGCTGGCATCCTAAATCGTTTGGGAAAAGACAAAAAGTGTGGTTTGAACACAAACAAACGAACTAACTAACTAACAAACCCTGCACGCTGTCTTGAGTGATGATACCCGAAAAGTGCGAGGGGAAAACCATCATAGTGGGGCTCAGGGCACAAGTCTGGAGTAAAGGGTCCCACTCTGGGGTACAGAGCATCACACTGGGGTTCAGGGCATTACTGTGGGGTACAGAGCATCACACTGGGGTTCAGGGCACTTCTGTGGGGTACAGAGCATCACACTGGGGTTCAAGGCACCACTCTGGGGTACAGAGCATCACAGTGTGGTTCAGGGCACTACTTTGGGGTACAGAGCATCACAGTGGGGTTCGGGGCACTTCTGTGGGGTACAGAGCATCACACTGGGGTTCAGGGCACTTCTGTGGGGTACAGGGCATCACACTGGGATTCAAGGCAGCACTCTGGGCTACAGGAAAGGTTGCCAGCACTCTCACAAAGGATATTTGTCGTGATGGGGTTGGTGTCACGATAAGGGAACCGAACTTGGGATCCTGAAAATGTGGGAGACAGGAAGCCCAAACCATATAGCAAAAAAAAAAGTTTGTTTTGCCTAAAGTGAAATTTATTTTTTTTGACAGTTGTGAAAGTCTCTAGGCAGAGGAAATAGATTCCTTCTCCCAGTATGATCCTTTTTCCTGTGTTACACAGTAATTCACAACTCCAGAAACAGAGTGCAGAGAAGATTGTCATTGTGTGCAGAACACTGCAGGGTAATGACCCTGTTGCTGAGGGGTCCTGGGGTGAGCTGTGCTCCGCCACCAAGGGGTCCTGTGGTGAGCTGTGCTCCACCACTATTGTTGCTTTTCCAAATTGTGACAGCTGGTTTGTCAGCCCAGCCCACAGGGTGTATGAACCACATCTGATGTGGCCTTTGGGTGTACCACTGACACGGGTGTGCAGGGTGCTGCACCAAGCCACAGCTTCCCCTTGTGCTCTTGTTACGCTGGTAGAACTCCTTTTGACCTAAAGCTCATACACAGCTGATGCCTGGTAGAGGATTTGGTCGTAATGACCACAAAAATGTGGTGTTGGAGATTTCCACATATGCTGTCCTCTGCCTTTTGAGACTCATGCAAGGAGTGAGTGAGAGCCTTGCAAGGCTGGTGCTGGTTTGCCTCAGAACCACTGGCAACAGCAGCAGATTTCAAAGGTTTGAACAGTCAGATATGTTGGTTTGTTGGTTAATTAGACAGAGAGGAGCACTAATGCACCCCCGGAGCTCAGTCACTCGGTGGGCTGGGCAGTCTGTCCTCTGTGGCTGTTTGTGCATCCACAGCTGGGCAACTGCTCCAGTGCCGTTTGGTGAGAGCTGTGATGGGCGTGTGGCAGCTTGAGAATGGCTCCGCTGATCCGACCAGCTGCCTTTGAGTTTCCAAAGCTAGTGAGATGTAATCCTTTATAGTAGTATAGTAGGAGTCCCTGTAATATCTATGTACTGTATAAGTGGCCTTGCCCCAGTGCTAGTTATTCTAAATGAGCTACAGCTGCGAAGTCCTTAGATGGGCAGTACCTGTGGCTCGTGAGGGTTACTAGGATAAAAAGGGGTGGGTTGAGAGTCCTGGAGGAGCCCTGATGAAGCCACAAGGAACAGCACTGCTGGGAAGAGCTGCATGTGAGAAGGCCACCCAGAAGGTATGGACTTTAGAAATCTAATAACAGTATGAATGCAATAAGTGGTGACCCCAACGTGATGGAGATATGCAGCCTGAGAGCTGTGGAAGATAGGACAGCCGAGAGCTGTGGCAGCCTGAGAGCTGGGACTCTAGAAATATGATTACAACAGTCCTTCTGCTGTGTTTGGGTTTATTTGTTATTGAGCATCTACCTTCAAAACCAAGTTTTTGTTAGCGTAGTCAGGAATCTCATGTTTGTGCAATAATTCAGATGTGGCTCTTTTTTCTGTCTTGGTCTTCTAATATTCCTGTCTCTGCTTCCTACATCTATAGGATGGAAAAGATGACTAATATTTTTATTAACGTTATTGCAGAGGTGGGTGTGTGCTGAGGTGCTGAATTTTTAGTTTGCATATCCACAAGTGCCAGAGTGTGCTGTTAGTTAAGAGACAAGTCATTTGCATGGGTAACAGGTGGGCTTTACTGCCCATTCACCCCATCAGTGTTGTAATCAAACATCAGCTTGATGCTTGATCTCAGCAGCAGAGGGATATGAACTTATTGGAGAGATGTGGGAAATGAATGTCTGTGTTTTGTTGTCAGAACAATTAGGAGGCACTTGTGTGAGGAGAGCTGCAGTAAGAGCAGTGCAGGATGGGCTAAGTGCATACACGGCTGATCACTGGAAAGCCTCCAGACACCGTGAGGCTTTGCCTCAGGGATGCGGGTTCTGCCCGTCGGAACATCTTAATTCTGCCCTGTGTTTGGGTTCCAGTGAGAACGAGCCCTGAAATGCAGGGGTCTTATGAAAGATGGGAAATCATGAGTGTCCTGATCCCTGCAGACTCGGTTCGGGACCATTGGTAACAACAATAAACACTTGACTGATCCAATATGACTTTTTGTGGAAGAGGAATGATATTGCCATTACTCGTCCTTAGAGGGCTGAAGTCTGGGATTGTAATGCTGAGAATAGGCTGCACATTCAGTCAGAACAGTTGTTGATCTGGTCAGTCTTAGCATTGCCAGATCTTTGTATCACTCAGATTAACATTTACAGATTTTGCTGTTGGGCTGTCGTGACCTTGAACTCCTAATCCTCTGTGAAGACATGCCTTCCACTCCTTTTACTCAATTCACAAAATGGTAGTTTTCTCTTAAGTCCTTTGTCCACTATGCCTGTTTCTTAAAATATTTGTATTTTCTGGTTTAGAGATATTACTTCAAACATCTCCGAGAGAAACTTCCTGAATGATTAATTAGTTTTAGAGTTTGTGGGGCTATTTTCACCATGCCCACATTCTTTCAATAATGCATCTGAATTTTATACACATAAGGTTTCTGTGAAACATTGCAAAATACAAGATCTGCAACATCAACAGTGTTTTTAGCAATACATTTATGCAGGAGCAGGCATGCTGGGTAGTTCATAAGCTGTTAATGAAATGCTGGCAGATATTAGGGTTTTATGGGCTGGAAAACAGTGCAAATCAAAGAGCTTTGCTTACTGTTTATAGCATTTTTCCTCTGAATATAACAATATTTATCTCACTTTTTCCATCTTGCATTTTGCTCTTCACATATTTACTTTCCCTTTCACTGATATATTTAAAGCCAACAAACTCTTCTGTATGAAATATATTTAGAGTTACAGTATTCCTGTCACTGTGGGTGTTCAGCCACTGGGATAAAGCCTGAGATGACTTATTTCAAATATCTCTTTGTCTTCAGCCTGCCTTTATCCTGATGAGGTTACACATATCTTGCATCTTTGGCCAGTGTTTCTGGACATCATTAATTGTGATTTCCCTGAGGCCGTGCAAGTGGTCCCTAAGGGCTGCTGTGCTTTCTGACTGCCTGCTGGCTCATACCTGCTCTTGTCACACTTCTGAAGCTCTTCTCAGAGCATACCTCTATGTTTTTCTGGCTCTAGCTGCTTAAATAGTCAAAAGATTTGATGGCATTGTAGTATCCTGGTACTACTTGGAGGTAAAAAAATATGTCTGAGAGAAGCAGACGATTTCTAAGTAAACAAAAGAACTTGTTTTTAAGAGAAGCTATGAATGGAAAAAAAAAACTTTTTTTTTTTCTTCTTAGTTCTACTGTAGTTTGTAAACCTGGAATAATCACAGTATTTCTCTGTACATGGAAAACATGGTTGGTTTGAATGGATATGAGACTTGTGTATGCCACCTAAAATTAAATTGAAGAAATGTTATTTTGTGCTTTTCAGAATTATATTTTACATTCCAGTTAGCCTAATGTGGTTTACTCAGGTCGCAGTATCAGCACTATTTTTAAAGCTTTGTCTTTTCCTGAGGACACAGAACACCTTCTTCAAACTTGTGGGAAAGTTTCCATTGATACCAGTAGACTGCAGCTCAAGCTGTTAGTTTAGAGCATAGCTGTATTTTATTGGAAGCATAACGGGATCAGTATTTCAGAATGAGCTCTTAATGTCTAATTTACTTTGTATGACCTAGCATTAGATACTCTGTATTTTCACTTTCATCCAAATCCTGCTGGGTGTTAATTGCCCTGTTCAGCTTGGGTGTACAAGTGTATATGGACTTTTGTCTCAGCTCCTGTGGGAAGCCACAGGGAGCACAATCAGATCCCAGCCTGCAAACAGCAGCAGAAACTTTGCAGGAGAGCAAATAGGGGAGCTTCTAGAGAACCACTTTGATCAGACTTAGTTTTGGCTTGTCCTGACTAGCTGCTTCATCACAACACCACATGTCTTGTCTTTTTCTTAGCATGGGTGTAGTCTGCATCCCTCTCTTCTCCTTCTCTTGTGTTCGTCTTTTTGTATATCCAAAATAATCATGGCCTGTGCTGTCAAG